CAAATATATAAATAGTATTAAATAATGTGATTCATTTTTGGTTTGACTATTACTAGTACATTGTTCATTTTACTGAAATTTACAATAACATTTAGTAATACTCTGAAAGTTAGTCAGTCCAATATTTAACGTATAATTGTCTACTATCATGCCAAATCTTAAACATATTCTACGACTCGTTGTCTCTGGCAAAGCAAAACCCATCAATAATTCTTCAATAAACGTATGCGCCGAGCAGAGCGAGTGTAACCGCGCGGAAGTAGCTAGTACATTCATATATGTAGGTCGAACTGAGAACCTCCTTTCTTTCTTTATCGAAACTGCAACTTTTATTCTAAAACTAGAATTACTAGCACTTATTCAAAATAATAAATCACACCACCCACTGTACTTCGAAAAAACCATTGAACCTTCTCAAAAATAGACCATTAAAACATTTCCTTCACGAGTTTCGCCGACTCATCTTTGTTTACAAAAGTAATAACGTCTTTATGTGTCACTTCCCCATATCCTGTATCAAAGAGGGCACGAATTCGATTCATTCAATTATCAAATAGATAATTTACTGTCGACTTTATTGTGTTTCGTGAAGCTATTGTTTATGTGTACTGTGTTGCTTTAACAAAGACATAATGGGGAAGGAAAAGATGTGACGGTAGAAGTTTTCTTTGAAAAGGCAGCAATGTAGGTAAAGTGCTCTGTTTTTTGGTTCAAGTCTGAATGTAATAGAAAATGAGGCTGTCATTTAGCATCAATAAGTAATAACTTAATCTTTTAGAAGTCTTAAACTGTCAAACACCGACCGGTCACCGGTGACCGCAACCTATTGTTCTTTAATTGTGTCTATAATGACGGTACTCAAAGGGTTAAAGTATATTCTACATACCTATTGCGATTACAACTGAAATTCAAATATCATTTAAACTGTCAAACACCAAGCGGTCACCGGTGACCGCGACCTATTGTTCTTTAATTGTGTCTATAAAACCGGTACTCGACGAGTTAAAAAAAAAACTACGCTTGATTTTCTCTAGTGTCGTGGGTGCGTTTGCAAACATACACATGGCACCTAGGTGCGGAATTCAAACCTATGGTGGCTACCATACGAACCGTGCCGTCAAAATTATTTTGTCAATAGCGGAAACTGAATCTAAGCTCTCTAAGATAGAGTGAAAAATGTAACAACCACGTTATACTTTGGCCTTGTAACATAATAGAAACTTGTAACTACATAGAATTTATATTACCAACCTCTAAACCAACAAGCCAGCCACTAATACCCAATTTCAAAATTAATACCATTAACAAGATCACACTAAGCACACACGAATATGAAAATGTTTAATTAATTAGCTATGATTACGTTTCTTTGTTCAGCTAATAGAATCTATTAAGGGAAATCTTCGCGTGGTGTACATAAAGACGTCTATATAATGAAACTCCTCGATATCAGATGTTAAATGGGGTTCTGACCCGTTTCTTTCCTCTATCTGACTCGAAATCAACACGAAAAAGTTAAACGGACGGCCGAACTTTTTTCACGGAAACTTTTTTATTGGCAAAGAAAAAGAAACACATTTTGCTGCCTTTTGCTTTAGTGGTTGCGGTTCGTACTTACTTTATGTATGAGATTTCATTTTCGAGAGTGTTGAAGGAAAAATTTTGGTGGAAATGTTACCAGTATTTTTGTTTGTCAATACTCTAATAAAGGTTTTTCCCTCTGTTATTTTTCAAAAAGGTAAATAAAGGTACTTTTGGGGCTTTCGTTGTACCAACTTTTCACCTGTTATGAACAGAAGGATAAACCAATAGATTCTGAATACTGAATAGAAAATACAATACAAAAATACAAGTTAATTCGTGATTTCCGAGGTCAATCAAACTGGAAAAATTTACTGCGGCAAGTATATTTCGACATTCCGTTTTATTTGCATTCTTACGGCAGACAAATAACTAATTTTCTTTTTGTCTTTCTTATTACGTATCGGTGGACTTAAGTACGATTCCATATTTTTAATTTTTTTATACCTCTACATGGTAGGTGGTCGTTTTGCCACCATTTGCCTTATAGTAAGCGATGATGTGACCTATTCTCTCGGGACTTCAAGACACCCAAGTTGTATTTGTTATTTCATATCTCAAGACATTATGTTAGAAGCTCGAAAGTATACGCTACTTTAACTCTTTGAGTACCGTCATTATAGACACAATTAAAGAACAATGGGTTGCGGTCACCGGTGACCGCGCGGTGTTTGACAGTTTCGGAATATTTGACAACGCACTCAAAAGTCTTATTAACGCCACGCATTCAGAAGCCACGCGTAACTACAGCTTTTTCTCAAATTAGTTATGTTTCAATAAGCCTTTACTAATTGATTTATTTATTTGTAAGTAAAGTAAATATAGGTGGAGTAATTGGTAGGTGTTGTTACCTACCAATTTCTTACTAAATAATTTTCCTTTTTGTGTCTGTGCTATCCGATCCTTACAAACTTTTGTCTATGTATATAGATAAATAAAATTTAAATGTCTGTTTGTTATTAACATTTTTTAAATGTATTTGAAATAATCGCCATTTACTGCATTACATGCATGCATGCATCAAAACACATACGATACATATACCAAAATAACATTTTTTATAATTCTTGTCTGTCTTTCTATTTACTCTGAAATGGCTGGACCAATTTTGACGGAACTTTTAATGACGGATCTACTAAGGAGTGCCACAGGTTCTTTTATTTTAGAAAAACGCAAACGAAGTTGCGAGTTAAGTTAGTCTTCAAAATTTCCGATAAATCATTTTCCTTTACTTGAATCGTTTCTGTATCTGCCTATTAAATAGAAAATTCGAGCAAATTATAACTGACAGCTAGTTACCGACTGTGATTCCGTTTTCTTTTTTGTGACATCCTTCAATTTGTCTAGTAAATTATATAACTTCAAGAAGACAGGTTTTATTGCCAATAATATTAAGGAATAAATTACAATAACAAACATTGATTGTTGTAACTTAACTTATAGTAAATGATTTAATGATATTAAAAGTAAATTAAACATTTAAAATGTATAATCATTATATTAACTAAAAATCACGGGTTACTCACGTGGACATACTGAGAAAAGCTTTATTAGTAGATCAGTAGTCTGCGCTTTGTCGCCGTGACTGCGAACGCTGCTCATGTTAATTAGTATATCTCACAATATTTATTATAAAATCATTATGTTATTAAAATTTGACGTTATAACTAATAGTTCGTTTTGTTGAACATTATTGTACTCAAAACGAAAACCCAATGTCTAATTACAATTGCCACTGTATAATAAAAAAAATCCAAAGATCGAAATATAAATCCAGCAAAAACAAAAACGATTGTTACGTATGTTGCTACTAATAACAGAGCAATCAAATCAATACACTCGACACGAAATACAACGCAAAAACAATAGTGCTTACCCATGTTATCGTTGAAAATTTATTCACAATCAAAATGAAATCAGTACGCGGTGAATCGCAAAAAGGCACTCAACGAATATTCTCAAATAGGGATACATAAACACACAAACTAGGTACGCCCGAACGTGGTCGAGGAAATGAAAATATTTTCGTCGAGTCAAAACAAAAGGTTCTGCGTTACTAGTATTCAGAGGAGGTTGTCGGCAATCATCCGAAGCTTTCATACCCATACCGTGCAACGGTATCGCTTACTAAAATGAACATCTGCCACCCGTTCATTGTTTCGTACCTTACACATAAGTGCGGGCCGACTGAAATGAGAATTTTCCCGGTATTCGGGCGCAAGAATGGGGGATATCTGCCGATGATGGCATATCCGCATATTTTTCGATCTTGCGAATCGATATCGACTGTATCGAGTGATTCGACTGTAATCGAGTTTTGAATATACCAAGTTGTTTCGGTTTCTAACTTGTAAATTATATGAGGTTGTTAGTGCGATGCGTATGGAAGTATTATTGGAATTATCTTTTTAGTAGCTTGCTTTTTGCAAGGATTGAAATGACCTAGCGTATTCAGAACGTCTCTATTGTTTGTTGTTATTTTGTATTTTAAGTTTGGTGTAATTAAACTCTTTAGTTACACAGTGTGTTTGTCTATGTATAATAAGTTTCACAGTTAAAACTAATAAGATTGCCAACTACAATATATTCAAAAATAGAACTTCGGACGGGAACAAAACATACAATTTTCAACACTGCTCTTAATATTATTATAGCATAAATTACATACAAATTTCATAGCTATATCGTGCATAAAACAATTCGTTGTGCTAAAAACGGGTTGCAACTTTAAGTGCAATTTTTTGATTCAATCTAACAACGGAGGTAATAACCCTTTTATAACCAGCCAATAAAATACTTGCGGCTCAACGAGTGGAGTTATTTAAAGTGACGTAATCGCGACTTCGTTTCACTAGTAACTTTCTTTTGTTATTAATTTTATTGTTACAAAATTATGTCAAAGTTTGATGCCATTGTGAGATCTTAATATTTTGCGCTGTTAGCATTCGTATCTAGTTTTTTTTTCTTATTTTTATTGGCTTTCGTTTTGGACATATCATGATCAATGAATTGCGACATGAATTATGTTCACATAAAATTAGTCAAATGTGCTTAAAACCTTTAGTAAGAAAATTATCTGTAACTTAAATAAGTTGTATGCAAAATTGAAGACAAATTGATAAAGTGGGTAAAAATAAAAATTAAAGAGATACTATTCAAATAAAGAACATTAACACTTAAAACATCAGTTGTGTTAAACATATATTATTTATTTAAATAGGTATACCAACAGCTTCTGTATACATAGTATTAAGAGAAAATAAAGGTAACAATAGGTATTGTACAGTCGCCAATTATAGATATTCAATCAAAAAGAAGATATCTCTGTTTTAAAAATGAATAAACATTATAAAGATAAAATCTTTTCATCAGATTCAAGTGAATGGTTACGGAAACTAAAATATTGTATTTCTTTACAGAACTTCCAAGTAAACCTGTCATCTTCGACGAGTACGGGAAAGAAATATCAGGAACTGCGGGTCCCTACCACGAAGGAGGAGAATTCAAGCTGATATGCTCCGTTAAAGGAGGTAGGTGCATCACATACATACAATAAAACATTTCAGTACTAAATTTAATACTACAAAGAACAAATTAAAATAAGTTTATCTTAACTAAAAGTCGCGAGTTACTCACGTTGAATGTACTGATAAAAGCTCTACTAGTTTCGAACCACAGAGGGGTTCTTCCTCATGAGCAGCGTGCGCGAAACTAGTAGAGCTTTTCTCAGTATATTCACGTGAGTACCCAGCGATTTTTAGTTAATTTTGTATGTCTCACGATAGTTATTATAAAATCATAAGTTTATGTAAAACCCACTTTTCATATTACCTTATGAGCCCCATGTAATAGACGGTAACCCTATTGCCATGTACCAGGCTCAATTCAAGACTCCGTGCTACGTGTGAGTTTTTTTTTAAAACCTTGCTCAGCAGTCGTGCTTGCGACCACTTGGCCAACGAGCATTAAATATTAAAAAGATATATACCTCTATTATGATGCCCTAAAATCTATAGCTGCTAGCTAAAGTGTTATAAAAGAAGTAGAATTCGTCACCAAGCCTAATCTCTCGGCAATTTTCAGCCAACTAAGTGACTGCACATTTGAAAAAGACCAAGCAACAGCGCTCTTTGATGAAACTGAACCTTTTAAACTGCTAGCTCCCACCCGTCTGACAAGCGAGGCGTTGTGACCTAAGCTTTAAAACTGTCTAGCATATAAATATACCTAATTCACTAAACACCGTATTAATTTGTTAGAAAACAATTCCATCTCAGTTTTATCGAGAGTAATTTGTACCGGGGAGCAATAAATGTTTATTTTATAGCAGAAAACTCGATCTACATTTCGACTCGCTTGGGAAATGAATTCAAAAGTTGAAATGGTGAAACTACGGATTATAATAACTAAGACATTGTGTAGTGAAAAGAAGAAAGATTGAAGTTTTTAAAATTAAGTTTAATGAAAAATATGTTTCTAGAAAATAATCAGCAAAGTTTGCTATGAATACTTAGGATCTGAGCCCGTTTTGAAAAAAATATTCTCGAAATATCTTACACATTGCAAGCACCTATCTAAATAAAAGTATGAACATACCTAAATATTAATGAGCGTACCTTATCTATCAATTCATGTAGGTAATATAGTAAAACATCTTAGCTAAGATTCTCCTTATAATCAACAAGATATCGAAAAGAAAACGTACCAATTGATCTTAACACTTATTACACATTCTGGTCAATGTCGTCAAAGACAAACAAAATCCCCGAATCGTTTTTGAAGTCTCATTGGTACTTGGTTTCAAGACCCAGTGCTTGAGATGCGGGCTCTCGGCCATCACCAAACGTAATATAAACAGTACAAAATACGAGGAACAAGACACAAACGATCACTTGAACAGACTCATCAGAATTGTATCCACTCAAATAAAATTGATAGAAATGTATCGTTTATTTTCTCCCCTCCTGGACATTCTATCTTCAACAACAGATTCTTTGATGTCAGTATTTTGATATTTCCCGAACATTTTTTAACTTTACCAAGTTATCCACATTGTTTTTTTGTTCTCCTAATTCTTTTACGTAAAATAGAAATGTTGTTTCTATAAAAATTGATATTACATTTGTGGAACAAATAGCACAATCATGTTCTCATTACGTAGGATGTAATGTTATTTGGGAACATTAGGAGCCTCATTGTGTTGTATCGTTTATTGTAACTTTTGTTTCAGGTTACCCGACGCCTCGGATTCAGTGGCTTCATGATGATACAGTGTTAGCTACGTTGAGTGCTGGAGACTATTCGCCTCCTACAAGGTCTTTGACCTTGGTCATCAGAAATGCAACGAGGGCGCATTTAGCAGCCCTGTATACTTGCACTGCTGATAATACGTTATTAGCTGCGCCACAGAAGACTACTGTGAAGATTGATTTGTTTTGTGAGTATCTATAATAGTGCATATTTTATTATACAGCAGCATTACCTTTCTCGTACTAAGAATTGCTACATTTATTATTCTGACGATTCTTTTGTGTTCCTCTATATAACTTAACGAGTTGGATAAATAACAAATTCAAGATAGAGTTTTCCAAATAATAAGTTGCAAAGGAATCCAACATAAGCAAAATTATGCTAGCTTGATAAAGCATACGTGTAAAAAATATTAAATTAATTTTATCATACAATATTTCGTTTTATAACACAAGAGAATAATGAGAGACCCCATTAATTTCAAGCCATTTTGGGTACGTAAAACAGTTACGGCCATAAAAAATGTAATTGTAAATAACTCCCCAAGGATTTAACCAACATAATGTTGCTTTTGTATTACATTAAACACAATTGTAATAAAAACATGTGTTTAAATGGCATGCGAATAAAATAATTTCCACAGTACTGCGTATGTATGTAGAAAAATGTTCCTCCAAAAATCCGAATGGCTAAAATATCAGAAAATATCGAAGGAATAAAAACGAACAAGTATTGCAATATTCTTTCTCTCATAACCGACAGTTATTAGGAGTCATTAACACCAATATTCGCGGAATCAACGAGCTGGGCCTAAACCAATAACCTTTTTAGACTTGACTTTTGCTCTGAATAAGGCTTATAACACATGAACCGAGAAAATGCTACCATTTTGTTATACGTGGTGTTCAGTTGGACAGATTTTATCTTCAGACTACGTAAATAAAAGTTTCAGAATCATAGTATGCGTCATATATATCTGTGGAACTAGATTTAAAAGTGTAGGAACGTTCAGCTGTTCGTTTTTGGTGATATCAAATTGTAGATGACGATATTCCTCGAAGTGCACTAGTAAATCGTTTGAGTTTCAGCACATTTCTGTTGGCCTGGTAGTTGACATGAAATAAACATAGATATACATAACACACTTTTGAAGTCAAGTGATATTCCTCCGTTTTACATTCAGTGTAGATGGTTCTAAAAACGGACCATACCCGGCAAATAGTTTCAAAAATATTGAAATATATTTTGAGTCTACGTCCACGATAAACTCAAGTACCAAATAAGGAAGTAAACCATAATTCTTGATGCGTCATTCTCCTAATACAAATTAATAAGTTACGAAATATATATTATATATAAGCTCCCTATTTCATTATACTTGCAGATATTGCCAGCAGGTGTTAAATTACATATTATTGGTTTACCGTCGTCGTAGCTATTATATTTTTTTCTCCAAAAGCTTTTCGACTTAACGGCTTGACGTAAAAGTTTTTGAGAAATAGAGTGTGATGTGACGTTACCATTTCATTATGTAAACGAGTTTTGGGTTTAAGCAGATAAATAAAAATACCGATTCTTCTATTGTGGTTCTTCTGCATCTAATTTGGAATGTTAAGTAAATAACCATAGGTAAATATTATGCAAAAGATGCATTTTGCATTCGTAATGCGAGCATTGTTACCCTTTTGGACCTTTGACGATCAGACGAATCACCCGATGGTAAGCAATCGGGTCACACATGGACACCCGGTACACCAGAGCTGTTACAAGTGCGTTACCGGCCTTTAGGGGATTAGACATTTGAGTACTCTGGAGTTGGGGAGATTAAGAAGGGGAGGAGGTTAATTGAGCCTCTGGTAACCTCACTCATACGACGAAACATAACGGCTCGGTTGTTATTATGAGTTGAAGAACAAAAAAAGAAATATCAGATTATTTTGAGACTTATTTCAAACAGATACCTACAAACAAACGAGTAGACACTCCCAAAAACCCTCATTATTAAAACAAAAACAAAAGAAAAACGTCAAAACACAAGCCGAGTCCCTTGGTGGTCGTCAGAATATTTAATATCGAGGACTAGGCAGAACAACTGACAGTTTGACAGTGACGCCATCAAAAACTGTCCGTACTCAAGTAGTATTTATAAGTTCCTCTGTGCTAAAATGTCACATACTCATTCATATTCTAGTTTGAATATAATGTACAATACATTATCTACCTATTTGCAACTACCATACGTATCGTATTTCTTTAACGTCAATTTATTGTCGAATCGCACAGGTAGAAATATATTAAATGCAGACATTATTTTGAGGTTTTAAAAGACACTAATATTATAAAATAATGTGAATTTTTCTTTATTTGGAAGTTTGGATTTTGTCCGTCAATCACGCTGAAACTACTATACGGATTTTGAAGAATTTCGGTATACAGGCCAGGTAAAGTAAGCCCCTAGGACTGATAGGCTGACTTACGCGATAGGCTACTTTTTATCCCGATTAAATACCCACATAGGATAAAACAGGTATCATATTCTATGCGGACGAAGTCGCGGGCAACAGCTAGTTACGTATGAAAATATCCAAACATTTGTTGTTTTTTTATTTATACAAAACCTATAATCACTTTATAATTTACGCACCAAAACATGAATTTTTTCAACCATAAAAATCCATTCGATAAAAATCACAAACAGAATACATAAACAACATCTTGATTATAATTTTTTACTAAATACTGTAAATCAGAGGTATCGCGAACCACTAACTAAAAGGTTAGAATGAACTGCTTCAGGTAAACTTTTGATTGGTAGTTAAAGTTACCTTGTCGTGAAAAGATGTTATCGAAATTACAACACGAACTCATTTGTGAATACAAATGCCTTGTTTTTTGTCCGGACTGTTTTAAATGTTTATTAGTTTCGTACATTATTCTTTTAGGCTTGAACTAGTCATGGTTGCTTTTGTGGTAAACTAAGACTTATTTGTAGACATATTTAAGGCTTTGTGAATTTTTTTGTAGAGTTTCTTGTAAATATCTATTTAATGGAAACTGAGACAAGTCTTACGAAAAATCTAAAGAAAATGTTTCAAAATGATAGCTATCTTACCATTCTATTGAAAAGAAAACGGTTGGAGTAAATATTAAAAGACTATGTATGTGAACTGAACTGAAAGAATATTTATGTAAACTGATTTTAATTTACTTAACTTAACCTCTTGTCTGTTGAAAGTTGCGGGTATAGTGTGTTTTATACCGGGAGCCGGTGTTTCAACAGATAAAAGGATAAAGTCGATTTGTTAAATACATATCCGTCACTTTAATCATGATATTTATTTCCAAATAGTATATCAATTTATGTTCTTTATTTTTTGTTGCAGTAAAACCACTAGGAGTAGAAATAATTTCGAGGGAGCAGCCTCTGTCTGTCGGTAGGAAGTCAGAGCTGTGGTGTAAGACGATGGGGGCGAGACCTCCAGCCACCATCACATGGTGGCTTGGTGGCAAAAAACTTGAAGCCATCACTAAAGATTCGGTAAGTGGTACATAGACATTAAAAAATAACGCTGACAAAATAGTTTACGAGCTCTTGGTTTGACTGTTTTGGTAATAAAAGCTGAAGTTGTTAAAAGTAACTATTATCTATGATCATTAAATATAATGCCTTATAAATATCTCTATCCCATAAACAAACAAAACGTACGAAAACGTAGGCAAGAAGGCGAGTTAGTAAATTAATCAATACTTAAAACAGAGGTTGTGAAGTCATCTCCTCTCAATCAGTGATCAGTTTATTTGAATCCAGAATCGATGCATATTGCATCAAATACTTATAAGTATGTAACATATTCGCTTCAATAACTGAGAGCAATAACAATCTCTTCAAAATTCGATCACAGATGCACTATAATAGTATAAAACCACATGTTCATAAAAATTTACATGATTCTTAAACAACAGGGTGTTGCGGAAGCGAACGAGACCGAATCGTTACTACAATGGATGCCATCAAAAGACCATAATGGTCAAGTTCTTACGTGCAGAGCGGAACATCCAAACTTCAACCATTCTAGCATTGAAAGCAAACTGCAGTTGAATGTGTATTGTGAGTATGAGTTTATTTTTATTCCTACATTTACGTATTTGTTGAAGCTGAATACGGGAACATGTTTATCTGTTACTTACCTGTGCTGTGGACTTTTAGTCGTATTTTTATTTGGGTTGACTATCAAATATATTAAATGCCAACCTACTCTGAGGAAGTGTGTAGATGAATGCTGACTTAAAACCTTCACTGTATTAGAAGAAGATTTTGCTTAACAGCCCCCTGTTAAGCAAAATCTTATTTACAGGCGATAATGATAATATTTAATTTAGTTTCTGTTTTTTTTTTGTACTGTATATCAAATCATGCCCTAATTAGGTAGAAACTAAAGAGCACCATCTACTATTTTCCATACATACTTTGTTTAGAATCAATTACTTCAGTGACGAATTATTTATATGTTTGATGTACTTTTTGCTTGTAGAGTTTGGCCATAGGTTGTTCGACCAATTATGTGAAATGTCTATTGTCAAACGCAGTACACAGCTACCAATAATCTACAAATCGAAATGTCCTATAATTCTTCGCATGGCCTAAATAAATCTCCGTAACTTAGGGTATAATCCGATTTTCCGCTTTGTGCAATTGAGACTGATTGCCTCGTTGATAATGGTCTGCTGTCTATCTCAGATGATAAGAGGCAACGTTCAGATGTTATGCAATTAAAAAAAAACAGATTTTAGTTAGCTCCTACACATAACTACATATTACCAGTTTATCATGGTTTCTTTTTGTTTGATCTTTACACATATTCAATGGTGACAGTGATGTAGACGAGTACGCCTAATTCAGGGGTTTTGATTTAGTTTATTTTTCGTCTTCTTTTTATTCATCGCATCTTCTATCGCTTATACCACGGGGAGTGCTGTCTGATACATGGTCTGATACATGTCGCGTCTTTTCGCCATCGACCCTCACGACCATCCATCCCCCATTATATAGATGGTTGGAGGCCACAACTGTGCGCTTCTCTCGTACCTTTCTACCTCGCACAGCAACACTCTGGAATGATATGCTATGGTTTTTCATAGCTTAGTACACACAGCTAAAAAACAATCCTCTGCATTAATCCTTAAAAGTATTTTTCTTTCTACCTACCTACCTAATGCAATGTCATGGATGCTTTTGTTGTATTGCTCCAATTAGCCACCCAGCCCTAATAACAGTATAAACATTTTGAACAGACTAGTTTTTCAATAAAACAGTTCTGGTTTGTTTGCTGTAAACAGCTGCAATGCAGAATATACCCCTTTAAGTTTAAGTTAAAGAAAAGTTTAATTAGAAATTAGTGTGGTTAAGGTACCGAGTTTGAGAAAAGAGCTATGAATCGATACCAAACATGAAGGGTCGTTTAGGATATTAAATTACCTTAAAGAAATTAAAGATTAAAGATAAACTTATCATATCATAATGCACAAAACAAAAAGAAACGATGTTAAATATTTTATGAAAATTCATAATTATATAAATATTACATCTGAACAATTTATTAATTGTAATTACATACATTGTACAATGTACATATTTCTTTGTAAACAACAACTTTTACAAACAATTAATAATTCGAGTGAGAGTTTAATAAAATAATTGATCAATTTGCTTTGTACGTTAAAATAAATGATTTTTATTAATAAAATCTGAACGAATATTTAATTTTACATGGACATAAATGTTTTATTATTGAATTGTATCAATAACTGATGTTTCAGTTCCGGTTTATACTTTGTTCGACACAGGTGTAACAATAATAACGTATGTACGTTTTTTTATAGTTCAATTGAAATATAACTCTTACCTGATACTACATCTGCTACGCTGGTGTTTATTTATACTCATACAAATTGATCCTTAGAAATAGTAGCAAAAAACTAAACCCTAGATTAAAATGTACAGAGCTGAAAAGGAGAAATACCCTAATTTCCTAAAAGACTGCTAATCTACGTGGTTTGTCATTGAGATCAACTAAACTACTAACTCATTTTGTTCAAGTACTTTATAACAATCGATATGTGTTGTCGTTTAAGACACCTCCGTTGTCAAAATATAGGTCCTATAATCAGCCTGCTCTAACCAAAATTCCATACATTTTGTAGCCCCCCCACCCCCCCGCTTTCACCAAAACCAATTAAGCTAGTGGTATTTCGCATAATGTGCCGTGCAGCGCCATAATTCTAATTGTCATAGCTTTGTTGGTAATCGTTCCAGGGCAATTAATATACGGCATATCGGACGATTACTTCAAGATTACCGAGAAACAGGCCTTGCCCTTTTTTTGTCTGAGTCATACCGACATGAAGTTCATTGACAAGTTTTGTATTTTATAATATGGGTTTTTATCTTTTGTTGCGCGTTAGTTACACATAATGTAATACCTTTTCGACCCCAAAGGGGTAGGCAGAGGCCCACATTGCAAAAAATGTATCACCTAGGTGTATACGATGGCATATTTTATATGTATGCTGGCATAATTTGTCGAATATATGCTTTTCATTCCTTCTTTCCATTATTCTATCCATCAATGTTTCTTTCTTACTTTCCTTGTTGTTATGTCATGAGTCTCATGTAATAGGGGAGTTATTTTATTTAAAAAAAATGTACTCAATTAGCTTTTTGGCAGTTGCGATATTAATGGTTTACACCAGGCAGTCGCGCACTATTTCAAACTCTGATTACATAATACTATTACACATATAGGGAAAAAGGAAAGCAAAACTGTCCAAAAGTTGCATTCAAAATATTTATACTAATATCACTCAACAAAACGGTACATTTTATTTATTTTTAGCAAAGCAGAAGGTAATATTTCGCTCCTAGTAATTTACGTAACACGTAGCGTGTGTAGCCGTCAATATTTTCCCATACTGTGAGTTTTTACGAGCAGCCGCGTCTAGTTGTTACTTTGAAAATTAAAATGTATGCTAATTGTTATTTACTGCGCTTTTTTATGAAATGAAATTTTTTTATAGGCTATGATGTACTGTGAAGCTATGTGTGGTTTCATTTCATGGGTCAAGCATAATATTATAGTGCGTTAAAAATAAATAAGTATAGGTACCCTTGGCGTAGAATTTATATAACCTGGTGAAGAGTACGTATATCTTTAGCAGACAGAAATAACACATACCTACTCTATTTACCTTTAAATAAAACAGAAAACGAATGCACTGTTTTGTCAATGATTAACTGCATTAATGTAGGGTTAAATCTATAGTCTAGTTATTATACTGCTCCTACAGCATCGAGCAAATGAAACATAACATGACATCATGCCTTTTACCCCCGAAGGGATAAGCAGAGGTGCACATTACGGCACTAAATACCACTGTACAATGTGGCACCCACTTTTCATTATTTATGTTATGAGTACCATGTAATACGAGGTGACCTTATTGCCTTATACCGGGCACAATTCTGGACTCTGCTACTATTGAGATATTTTTTAAAAACCCAGAAATATTTTGCCCAGCATTCGCACTTTCGACTACTCGGCCAACGTGGCAGCCTAAATATGAAACAGTTGATATAATCGATAAAATTATGTAGATACATATGCCGTTAGCAGTCTCAAAGAACACATAAAATATAACAAACCTAGTAAAAAATATAAAATACACATTAATGAACTGATGATAGCTACAACCAGCGATAAGTGGAAGGAAATGGAAGGGGATCGTAAAACTCTTCGTACCTTCGTACAATCGTGAGCTTCCTAATGAGAGGAGAAACAGTTATTTTAACGATAGCACTTACAACGGCCTCGTTTCTATATAAAAACCGAGTTTTGATTACACACCGTAGTCATAGTATAAAGAACAAAGTAGGTTATCTTCATACAAATGCTCCGCGCGCGGCTTATATGTGTGCGCCATAGTATCTATGCGTCGACGCACGCACACTTTAACAAAATCTCGACCCGTTTCTCAGTGCGCCAGGCAGGGCTAACACTGCACGAGGTACGCGCGCATAACTTTTCGGCACTGTTAAATGAAATAAAAAATGTCTGATAACCGTAGAAGAACGTATTGTTGTGTGTTTGGGTATCTTAATAATTAATCGATTCCAGAACTGTCTTTGTTCAGATTACCTATTGAACAGGAAAGGTAAGCTAGTCACTTTTTCTAGCATAATATAATTTGTAGGTACTTGATGATGAGATACCTACTTACTTATTCTTACTCTTATCATTCTTCATAGTTCCTACTCAACCAGAAATGTAATTACCTACTATACTTAAATATTATAAGAAAATGTGGCATTGTATTGTTTATTTCACAGTTTATCTGATTTGTTAAGAGCGTGGCCGTGTCGCATTTTTCCATATAAATGTAGAAAGTAGGTAAATTTTGGAAATTTACCTACTTTCTGAATACTATGTATAGAGCTAAAGTTTATTTTAAGAAGTTAATAATCTTTTTATAAGCTTTTTATTTTTACTAAATTTATAAATTGATAAAATATTCAATTATAATATGCTTTTCATTTCATAAATTTAGATCAAGTGCTGCTTGTTCGAAAATATTAACTAAAAGTAAAAGTGACAACCCTGGGGATCAACGCAAGAGTAGGCTAATAACTCGGCGGGCGGCCTTAGATAACCTACTGTGTGTTCTTTATACTATGCCGTAGTCGGTAGATATTTGCAGAAACTCGGTAGTGAAACTATTTTGTTATAGTCTTTGAAAGTAGTAAAATAAGGAGTTTATAGTTCACTGGTACAAACTATTTTGAAGTTTAAATGGGGATGATGACAGGGTATGAAAATTAAAAATATAATTAGTCCGGAAGTTAGGTAATGAAAAAATATTAGACACGTATTTTTTTATTTTGTCGTATAATAAAACAATACTTAGATAAAACGAATCAAAGTTTAGGAGTGGGGGCTAAAACGTCATTTCTTAGTATAAAATGTACTGAGAAGTGACGTCACGCGACATTTCAAATCAATATATCTTCGAAACTATTCGTTTCTGTGAGAAAAGAAAAAATACGTGTCTAATGTTTTTAAATAATCTACCAGACGGACATTAAAATAAAAATTAGTCGTCTACCCCATTATTGTGTATAAAGTAGTTTAGGAATTAACGTTTTGCAATCATACTTTATTATCACAAGATTTAATTATGGCTCCTTAATAAAGTGATTGAAAGAGCGACTACCAGACTAAAGTACCTCGGATCACCTTCAAAAAATGATAATCAGACTTCTTGGTTTTGATTTTAGAATTAAAACCAGTAGTCCTTTTTTGTGAGTTTAGCATTTTTGAGATAATCAGGTTACCTATATTTGTACTCGATGTATGTCAAGTGGTAGCTCGGAGGTCTAAGACAACCACTTCTCATGCATGAGGGTGCGGGTTCGATACTTAATACTTATGCCAATGTACTAACAGCAACATAACATAACATCACGCCTTTTATCTCGTGGGTAGGCAGAGGTGCACACAGAAGTAACACCTACTTTTCACTATTTATGTTATGAGTCCCATGTAATAGGGGGTGAGCCTATTGCCATATACCGGCCAACGAGGCAGACTAACAGCAAGTAATTAATTTAGGTATAATTATATAAATTTGAAATCGCCAACCCGCATTGAGCAAGCGCGGTGATTCATGCTCAATCCTTCCCCGTATGAGAAGAGGCCTTTGCTCAGCAGTGGCCGTTGATAGGCTGTATATGTGAGATGTGTGTATGTCAAGTGGGTGAACTGTTGTTAATCTAAAATTGATTTCCTATTTATAAGTCTGCCTCTTGCTACATAGGAATCATAACATCACTAGCAAAAACGGAGATGAACTATAAATACACTTTTAGTCACCTATTAAGAGAATAAGCATACTGATGTTATGATAATAATTATAAAATATTTGCACATAATATATCGTAGTGTACGCCAAGAGTAATAAACTTTGGTACTGTTATTACCTCGTGTCGTGTGAGAACACACTAAGTTTTATTGTTATGAACACTAAGAATTACGACTTTCTGTATTTCTTGGGAGATAGGCAAAAGTTCAAACGAGAACCTTTGAGTGCGACGGTTATTTGAATAGCAACTTTATGATTTTAGGTGAAAGGTTTGAATTTAAACAATTCAGTGTTTGAGTTTGTTTTGTTATAGAATACAGTACAAGAATGATTTTCTAACTGAATGTATAGTAACTCATTCAAAATTATTCTTAGAAAATTTATTTGTATAGGCTTTATATGTAACAATTCTGATTTGTTCAGAATTTGATAATGTGTAAAAATGTTAGCTGTCCATTATCCAGGCATGTGGGTAGAAAAAAAAAGTAAATAATTACAAGATTTTTTTTCAATAATAATTCTTTTATAGACTACGTTAAAGAAAACCAACTCAATCCCTCTTTTTATGAAGTCGGGTAATTAAATTACTAAAACCTTTTTCCTAAGTGTAACCTTTACATTTTTCTGAAAACCGCATCAAAATCGCGAGATATTCGCGCACAAATAGGCATAGTACACACATACACACAGCACAAACTTTTCCTCTCAACTTGAGATTCTCAAATCTCTTTCTTTTTTGAAGTCGGTTAAAAACAGTATTTTATGACCACTATATTAACATAGTATAAAGAACACACAGTAGGTTATCTAAGGCCGCCCGCCGAGTTATTAGCCTACTCTTGCGTTGATCCCCAGGGTTGTCACTTTTACTTTTAGTTAATATTTTCGAACAAGCAGCACTTGATCTAAATTTATGAAATGAAAAGCATATTATAATTGAATATTTTATCAATTTATAAATTTAGTAAAAATAAAAAGCTTATAAAAAGATTATTAACTTCTTAAAATAAACTTTAGCTCTATACATAGTATTCAGAAAGTAGGTAAATTTCCAAAATTTACCTACTTTCTACATTTATATGGAAAAATGCGACACGGCCACGCTCTTAACAAATCAGATAAACTGTGAAATAAACAATACAATGCCACATTTTCTTATAATATTTAAGTATAGTAGGTAATTACATTTCTGGTTGAGTAGGAACTATGAAGAATGATAAGAGTAAGAATAAGTAAGTAGGTATCTCATCATCAAGTACCTACAAATTATATTATGCTAGAAAAAGTGACTAGCTTACCTTTCCTGTTCAATAGGTAATCTGAACAAAGACAGTTCTGGAATCGATTAATTATTAAGATACCCAAACACACAACAATACGTTCTTCTACGGTTATCAGACATTTTTTATTTCATTTAACAGTGCCGAAAAGTTATGCGCGCGTACCTCGTGCAGTGTTAGCCCTGCCTGGCGCACTGAGAAACGGGTCGAGATTTTGTTAAAGTGTGCGTGCGTCGACGCATAGATACTATGGCGCACACATATAAGCCGCGCGCGGAGCATTTGTATGAAGATAACCTACTTTGTTCTTTATACTATGATATTAATGATTTCAACAAGAGATCGATTTCTAGTTTCGGACTTACAATTATTTTAAGATAATTAGATTAATTCCCAATAACGAGACACTTATAAATAAACAATTCATGTGAAATCTTTAACGATATGAGGTATTATGAATTCTTAGAAGTAAAACCGAATATAGATTCATGAATAAAAAATCGAGGTACTGTATAAGTAATACTATTTTGCAGGTTCACACACAGTAAAAAATATAATGCTAATAATGATAGTGATTTTAAAATTCAATGTAGAACAATGTCTTTCTTCCTACTTTATGAAATGCCTAAAGCTATAAAATTCAATACTTGACAATTGAACAATTGACTGCACGGTTAGCGTAGTAGCTGGGCAACTGGCTGCCGCGCAATTTGTAGCGGATTCGATTCCCGCACGGAGTAACTCTTTGTCTGATCCACAAATAGTTGCTTTGGGTCTGAGTGTGATGTATACTATGTGAAATTGTATATTTGTGCACGCACCTATGACACAGGAGAAAATCCTAGTGTTAACGTTAAAAAATAATAAAGGTTTTATTCTGAAAAAGGGGCACGCAAATGAAGTATGTAAGGATTCTAGTAGATAGTGCTCCATATTTACTGCTCATCCCTATGATACAAAAACCTGAATATAATTATGTATGTAAGTACGTAAGCTCTGCATTCCCATACATGTAATTATCAGGGTTTATTCTTAATTTTTTTGCTTGCCACTTAATTTGAACGTGTACCCCAAAATGTTTGTAAATGAAACCTTTTTGAGCGATTCCAGTTCCCCGAAAAGCCAAGATTACAAGAGTATTAAGTTATTAAACAGCCAATACAAAATGAACAACACTTTATCCGATGTAACAGTTGAACCGCAATTTTGTACCCGTTTTTAGAACTTTATTTCATGTTTACTTTCATCAAAGCGGAAATATTTATTTGAAATTTACATTTATGGATGAGGGTTTAAGGTTGTAATTTGTTTGTGAACAGATATGCCAGAAGCAAAGATTCACCTTGGGGCTAAGATGAACCCGAATGACATTGAGGAGGGTGATGACGTGTACTTCGGCTGTAAGGTGGATGCCAATCCGCCTGCCTACAAAGTTGTTTGGGAACATAATGTAAGTAATAAATTCTTGATTCATGTTTTTTACCATTTTACAGAAAACGTCGGTGAAACTAGTGTTTTTTTTTTAATTTAAGTGTGAAGGTTTGATATGGTTGTCACTTGAGTTTAGTAATGGAATAACATTTTCTCTTTAGCATTCCTAGTTCAAATTATCTCACTTCATCGCCGTCGCTAAAAATAAACTAGGAAACACCAAAAACCTACTGGCTAGTTGAAGCGAAATCTATTTTGATCGCAATTGGAGTTAGGGAATAAGACTTCCGATCCTACGTGATTCCCAAGTGACTAGCGCATGACACAATTGGACGAAGCGGACTTTGCCAACAAACGTAGTACTGTCACTACCAAAAGTTATTGGGCAAAGTACTTTTGCAGAGAATATGTTACCGTAGACACATGTAAAGGCATTTCTGTATAGTCAGAACGAAAATGTATTACGTAAATGTTTCGTAAAGCCAATAAAATATGAAATCATTATGTAACGGAAATATTTAGAGGTATAAACTAAGCAGTTATTTTTTTTTTCTTTTAAAAAACGTTGCCCCACATTAGGATTTTCTCCTGTGTCGTGGGTGCGTTTACAAACATGCAAGTTCACATACACAATGACACCCAGACCAGAAACCATAATTTGTGGGTCACACAAAGTGTTGTTCCGTGCGGGAATCGAACCCGCGACACATTGTACGGCAGCCTGTTGCCCATCCACCGCACCAACCGTGCAGTCAATCATTGATATATCCTACTAATATTATAAATACGAAAGATCGTACGTTTGTTTGTTACTCCTTCACGTCAGAACACCTAAACCGATCGAGATGTAATTTGGAATAGGCGTAGTATTTGGTCTGGAATAAGACTTGGGCTACTTTTTATCCACTGAAACGCGGGCAAAATAGCTGGCTGAAGTTATTTGGATATAAAGGTGTTTTTTTTCGATTACACTTTATTTGGCATAGTCTTTAATAACAATTAATTAAACTTACTTATCTTATGAATCAAAATAAATTTTGGCATTTTTAATTACCAGTTAAATAAGTCATACATAACATACATACCATCATGCACATGAACACCACACAAGGCATTGTAAAATGTAACACCAACTGTTCACTATTTATGTTATGAATCCCATGTGATACGGAGTGAGCCTATTACCACATTTCCAGGCTCCGTACTACTATTGAATTTTGAAAACCCAATAATATTTTGCCCGATCTGGGAATCGTACTCGAGACACCTTACCCCGAGTCGTACTTGCGACTACTCGGTCAACGAGGCAATCAAATCAAAAAGAGAGCAGTTAAATAAATCAATACAAATAAATTAAAAATTCACCAGGCACGTAAACATTTTTTGTTCTTTACTGCTCGGCAAGTTTTGGCACTGACAGTACCTACTAATAAAACGTTTGCAGAAAATAAGACCAAAATGTCTGCAGAGCTTCTATTTTTGGTTTAAAACTAAAAATACATATGTAATGTACCGGTAATTTCAATTTAAATATTTCTATTATTAATTTAATCAAGTTCCCTATTTAATATTCTATTACTATAATGGACGTTTATATTTGAATTGTGGTATTATAAGCTATTGTTACGAATTTTCAATATACAAATTATGCACATAATGAATCAAATTTATTACATCAAAACATGCATTATAGTTTTAATATTAAATTCACCTATTGTATGGTTTTCATAATGTATTTCTAAAATTACATAAATTATTTTCTATTCAAATTGTACCACTTATGCTTTATACCTTGTTCTAATTATAATTTTAAGTAAGTCTGATAAATAATTTAGTTTTTAAGGCTCGTGTGCTAGCTCCCTCTACGCATCGCAAGAACTTGCGAATTGATTCGCATCGGCCATCAAAATGTTATCTTCCCAAAATCTTTGTTTCATTTTCCTGTATCTCCTAAGCAATAACAGAAGTGCACACTTCTTTTTACGATCCATGTCACGACCTAGTTTTCAATTTAAATTACGTTTAGTACGGTTGACGGTCGAAGGAATGGTCACCCTGGGAGACGCCTTGTCGCATGAAATCGCATCGCAGCAATTCGTAATCTTTTACGTTGCGAATTGGCATCGCAGTTTTGTATACGAGCCCTTAATTATGAATTAGAATCAATGCATGATTTCGTGCCGTCGGTGGTGGTCGCACCAAGTCCATCACGACAATCTCAGCAACCGTGTCAACACAATGGATTCAGCTACGCCCCCTTCAGCGACCTAATCGAACTATTGACTCAATGATGTTATGACGTTGTTATCATTACTTACAACTTAAGCCGGGCTCACAGAATATTAGCTATCTTCCACAAGTATAACTATTTTTCCAAGCTCACACCTTATCAGTCAACTCGTACACTTTGCAATGAAGTGTGTTTTAACCAAAATTTATTATTGTATTGTATTAAAATAATATTGCAAGATGGTATGTAGCGCCATCTATTGGTTTTTTGTTTGTAACTCACTCCTCTGATGATTGGATCGGTTTGTAATAAATGTCAGTCTGTCAAAAGCTACTCACTGGTTTTATTAGGTTATGGGCCCAGACCCACATTTTTCGCATTAAAAGTAAAATTTTTGTGAAATATAAGACTCAGTGGTTTCTCGTAACAGTAGGAGTGTTCGCCGGACTAGATTTGTTCAGATTAAAAAACTGTATGGTGAAAAAGTGTGTTCATCAAGAAAACCGTTTTTTGAACAATGGCCGCGAGTTACATCGTCAATGTCCCTAAACTAAAGGGTCGTGAGAACTATGACGAGTGGGCGTTTGCCGCAGAGAACTTCCTCATTCTAGAAGGAGTGGACATCAATAAAAAGCCGCTAGCGGCGACGGCTGAGGCAACCATGTTGGACACCGACGCGCAAAAGGCAAAGGCGAAACTAATTATGACTATAGATTCGTCGCTATATGTTCATATCAAGAATGAAAAGACAGTTCAGGATGTGTGGATTCGTCTGAAATCACTCTTTGATGATTCCGGATTTCAAAGAAAAATCAGCTTGCTACGTCATCTAATATCAATTCGGCTAGAAGATTGCGAGTCCATGACATATTATGTGACTCAGATAGTAGATACGGCGCATAAGTTACGAGGAACAGGGTTTCAGATTACAGATGAGTGGGTTGGGTGTTTATTATTGGCAGGATTAACGGAAAAATTTGCTCCGATGATCATGGCTATAGAACATTCTGGAATGGCGGTTAGTACAGATGTTATCAAATCGAAATTGTTGGATATGAGTACAGAGTTTGGCAGCTCTGAAAATGCGTTTTTTTCGAAAAGTTGGCAGCAGAGCGAGCGCAGGAAACATAAAAAAGGCGCGACTGCAGAAGTGTCAAAATCAAAAACGTCAGTTTCGAAACCTGTCAGTGCCAATTACAAGAAAATTCGTTGTTACAAATGTAAGCAAGTCGGACATTTTAAAAGTCAGTGCAATTACACTAACAAAGACAAAGAAAATACAGTATTTAGCACGTTTTCCATGAATTCGACATACAAGAAGACGGATTGGTACATTGATTCAGGTGCCAGCTCACATATGATCTCCGACAAAGAACGTTTGTCCGATATAACCTACAACTCACCTGTGAAACAAATAGTAGTAGCAAACCAAACTGTTGTACCAGTGTTATGCTCAGGGAATACAAAGTTGACGACTTTAGTGGATGGTTCAGAGTTTGATATCACAGTAAGAAAAGTATTGTGCGTTCCTAACCTCACAACTAATCTTCTATCAGTTAGTGAGTTGATTCATAATGGAAACAAAGTGACTTTCAATGAAGACATTTGCAGGATATACAATCGCAAAAATGTACTTGTTGGAAAGGCACAGTTAATAAATGGAGTGTACAAATTAAATATCAAACAAGAAAGTCTGTTCGTTGGCTCGGCAATGCAGGAAACTAGCATGTTGTGGCATAGAAGGTTGGGTCATATCAACAGCAAAGACTTGAACAATATGAAGAATGGCGCTGTGGAGGGAATTTCATATCCCGACAAGGCAGAAATTGACAAATTCCAGTGTGTCACATGTTGTGAAGGGAAGCTAGCGAGACAACCATTTCCTCACAAAGGTACCAGGTGTGAGAGTGTGTTAGAAATTGTGCATGCGGATGTCTGTGGTCCCATGGAGAGTGTCTCAATAGGAATGTCCAAGTATTTTCTGCTATTTGTTGATGATTACAGCAGAATGTCATTCGTATACTTCCTAAAGTCAAAGAGCGAAGTGATGAAGTACTTTCAGGAATTCAAAGCTGCAGTAGAAAAGCAGACGGGGAAGTACATCAAAGTATTGAGAACAGACAATGGTGGGGAATTTTGTGGTTCAGAAATGGAAAGGTTCCTAAAAAAATGTGGAATTGTACACCAAAAAAAAATCCATACACACCAGAACAGAACGGTATGTGTGAACGATTAAATCGCACTATAGTGGAAAGAGCCCGATGCCTCCTATTTGATGCTAATATTGAGAAGAAGTTCTGGGCTGAAGCAGTGAATACTGCAGTATATTTGCGCAATAGAACTTTGGCCTCAGGATTAAAGAAAACTCCATATGAGCTTTGGTCAGGGAGGAGGCCGGATCTTAGCCACTTGCGTGTATTTGGTAGCACTGCAATGGCTCATGTTCCGAAAATAAAAAGACTGAAATGGGACAAAAAGGCAGATAAATACATACTTCTTGGATATGCAGAGAATACCAAGGGTTATAGATTGTATAATCCTATCACCAAAAGCATAATAAACAGCAGGGATGTTGTCATCATGGAGACAAGTAAAGACATGACACAAGCTGTGGTGCAAGAGAATGAGCCAGATGTAACCAGGGATGAAACGGAAGAAGAGCAATCAGTAAATGATCAGAATGACAGCTCATATTTACCTGACAGTGAGTCTACCACATGTTCATCCAGTTCCGATGAATTTTGTGACCCAGAGAATGAGGTGGCACAATTAGATCCTGTTGACAACCC